ACAACTGTGTGCAGTGTCCTATCGCTCTAGTGAACCTCGAGATGATTCCTCACATGAAGCCAACTCCCACTGTCACACATGCAAGAGTTATGATGGTGTCTGACCTAAGGCACCTCCTGATTGTTAATCATGTTTTATGTGTTTATACTATGCATAGCTGCGTCAGTTTCTTATTATGTCTTGGCTGTTTCCCCTTCCCCTTGAGAATTATCATTCTGTAACTAGGGCCTCCTAATGAAATAAAAAGAGGAGAACGGCCTTGAGTCATCAGAACGTGTGGAGACTGTTGGTCTGATGCCCACTCTCTGCCCGTTCTCCTCATGAGTAAAACTGAATTAATCACACACAGTGTTTATTTCTATAGCACCTTCCAACAACCAAGGCCGACCAAACTGCTGTACAACATTAAAACAGGATAAAAAACAATAAACATCATACAAATAGGTCAATAAAGCACATTACACCATTAAAATAAAGAAAGTGTCACAGGGCCACTAAGTGTTAAAAGCCGTTCTAAATAAATAGGTTTTAAGTTTGGCTTTGAACAAAGGCATAAACGAAAGATACAGGGATTATGCAGGCGGCGAGGTGATGTATGTGACGTAAACGCGTGCACGACCTGAGCAGATGTGACCAGAGCAGTGTTGGGAAGGTGACTTTTAAAATGTAATCCCCTACAGATTACAGATTACATACCCCAAAATGTAGTTTGTAACAGAATCCATTAAATTACTTAAAGTGAGTAACGTAATCTGAATACTTTGGATTACTTGATTTGCTGTAGAGAAGCAAAGACGAGGAAACTTAACCGTATTAAAAATATTATTGATAGAAGAGGAGACACGTCCGCGCAGCATGGTTTAGTCCTGTTAAATCCTGTTTTAGTCCTGGTTTAGATCTATCTTAGACCTAGTTTTAGTACTGGTTTATATCTAGTTTAGACCTGATTTTAGTCCTGGTTTAGATCTAGTTTAGACCTGGTTTTAGTCCTAGTTTAAATCTAGTTTAGACCTGGTTTTAGTCCTGGTTTAGTCCTGGTTTAGACCTGGATTAGATCTAGTTTAGACCTGATTTAGTCCTGGTTTAGTCCTGGTTTAGACCTGGTTTAGATCTAGCTTAGACCTGGTTTTAGTCCTGGTTTAGATCTAGCTTAGACCTGGTTTTAGTCCTGGTTTAGATCTAGTTTAGACCTGGTTTTAGTCCTGGTTTAGATCTAGTTTAGACCTGGTTTTAGTCCTGATTTTGTCCTGATTTTGTCCTGGTTTAGACCTGGTTTAGTTTCCAGCAATGAGTGGAATTACAGAAAAAAAAAAAAATACTACTAATAATAATAATTATAATGTGAAAACAGGAAAATACCACCGCGTAATCCATTTATTTCAACAAAGTAACTGTAATCTGTTACTCGCCAACACTGGTTTCTAGATATTCTGTAAAAATGTTAGATTATTTCAACAATAATTTATGTCAAATGTTTAGGTCACCCTGTATTATAACCTACAACATGCTTTGATACACACATGACATCAACATTTTAGGGAAATTTTACCGATAAAGTCAAAGATGTCTGAATAAACACGGCCTATTCATTACAAACGGACAGCCCCAATCAAAAACGCAGATAACAAAACGAGACTCAGACACCTTTCACTCAGGCACCTTTGTGCACAAAAAAAAGGTGATGGGGGGGGGATATAGCCCAAAATGTGAAAACAGGAAAATACCTCTATGTAATCTATTTATTTCAACAAAGTAACTGTAATCCAATTACCACTCATTGAAACAGTAACTGTAACTGAATACAGTTACTCATAATTTGTACTCTGATTACATAACTCCGGTACATGTAATCTGTTACTCCCCAACACTGGACCAGAGTTTTGCGTCTTGGGCAGTGTAGACGGAAACACTACGGTGGAGCTGATCCCTGCCAACAGTAAAGAGCGACATAAATCGTCATTTGTTTAGGTAAAATACAGAAAAGCTGCTCGAAAATGACCAATACACAAAGAAAATACTGATTATACTGACTCACATTAGTGCCGAATGCATAAACATTTTCTTTAATTATGCGCTTGTTTCACAAACCAGGGATTCACGTTTCTCATGTTTTTAAGCCTGTGTGACACTGATACTTTGCAGTGACATCGCTCTGGGAGTGTCCCACACGTATCTCTAAGGTGGAATTTTCCACAGTCGCCATGGAGACACAACGAACACAGGCGCAAACACAAAACGTTTAAATTTAGTTTGAAAGATTGTCTGAAACCCCAAGAAAAAACACAAAATAAATGTAAACAACACATTTTCTTTTTACTTTATTTTATGCTTCATTAAACTGTTGCTATAGTTTTGGTTTTATATGGATGAAGCCAGAACAAATATTACCCATTAACCAGGACAAACCCTTTGAGATACGCCTGTAAAATGCAAAATGTACCTAGAATTCTGACCTGAACTCAACCTTTTGTATGATTAAAGTTCTTACATAACTCAAAATTGACTCTTGTGAGCTTTAAGTCACGTCAGAATGTTGTTACCTCATCGTAAACATGCCTGGAGTTGTGTTTTGTTTCCTTCACATTTAGTTTTAGTAACCTTTTATTGTCGAGCTGTCTACATCTCCAAAGCTCAAAATCTCACCTGAACCACACACGCAGGCCGCTGTTGCTGCTGTGTACTTTGGCAAGACACATCACCAACCACAACCACATAAAGTAGAGCAGGAACTGGTTGTGCCACGACATTAAAAAAAATCAGGTTATCGGTTGTGTAACCAGTTTACTGTGACACGTAATGAACATCAGAAAATAAACATGCCAATTAAGACAGTAATTAAAGTGAGGGTGACTTGAAAAAACTGCCATCCATCCATTTTCTTCTGCTTATCCGGGGGCAGGTCGCAGGGCATCAGTCTAAGCAGGGACTCGAGGACTTCCTTCACCCCAGACACGTCCTTCAGCTCCTCTGGGGGGGACACCGAGGATTCCCAGGCCAGCCCAGAGACATAGTCCCTCCAACGTGTCCTGGGCCTAAATCGGGGCCTCCTCTTGGTGGGACATGTCCAGAACACCTCCCGAGGGAGACGCCCGGGCTGTCCCCTCCTGAACCATCACCTTAACGTGGTGGAGGGGTTTGAGTGCACGAATGATCCCAGGAGCTGTGTTGTCGGGGGCTTCGTACTCCTGGTAGAGTCACCCAAGGCGAACAGGTCTGGGGGGACGGGTCAGACTAAGGCTGCGTTCAGACTGCAGCCTGAAGTGACCCAAATCTGATTTTTTGGCCCCTATGTTCCTGTATCTGATCTTTTAATGACAGTCTGAACCACACAGATCCGATTTTTTCAAATGTGACCCAGGACACTTGGATATGTGCTCCTGAAACTGATACATATCTGATCTTTTGACATGTGACTTCAGTCTGAACGGCCAAAGTGCATTCATCCACCTACACGTTATCAACAAGACACAAACGTCACTATTCTGCGCTGAAGTAGGTGAAAATAGTTAATGAACTCTGTGTCACTGAAGCGAAGCACATCACCACTCACCACTCACGTCTACGTCTCCACATCCACACGTTCCTTTCAACGGACGTCGCTGCCGCTGTCCCACAAAACACCACGACCAAAAACCTCGTCCTTCTCCTTCTCAATCTCCTCCTTAAAACAAGTAAGTTGTTCATGTTCTGGCTCCGGTACGAGAGGAACTTTAAAATCTCCAGGTGCTCGATGCTGCGTCCATGTTTGGACAACTTCTGTAAACACAGAGACGCTCGCTGCGGTTGACGTCGTCATGTCTCCAGTGTCACATGTGGGACACTTTTGGACGGTTTAATGTTCACACTGGAGTCACATACAAGTCGCATTTAATTGGAAATGTGAACGACCTCGCAAAAGCATCGGATTTCACAAAAAGCCCTGCAGTCTGAACGTAGCCTAAGAACAGTTCAGAAGCCCCATGATGAGTACATCAATGAGGCCAGTTATGTCGCCCAGATTGGCATCACCGAGGCCCCACCCTGGAACCAGGCCTGGGGTGGGAGCTCGACGGCGAGTGGGCCGGTGCTGAGAGATCTGGGCGCAGTCGTAAGACGGGGGCCTCAGTGACCGGATCTCCGGACATGGAGACTGGCTCTGGGGACAATAAAAAACTGGGAGTGCGTAAGTGCAGGTCTGGTCCTGGACCTGGTTTAGTTTTATGTTCATTTGCAAACACGGATTTCTGATTTTTGGCAAAATAAATGAAAATTTATGCTCCTCTTTACAGCTGGCAGGGATCAGATTAGTCAGAAATTGTGATAATACTGTTCGAGTCCTGGTTTAGATCAAATTGGTCAAAAATAGTGACAACTGGGATATTTCTTGTAAAAAAAAACTGGGACAAATCACTTGTTTTGTATAAATCTGCTGGGACAGGGGACACAGACTCAAACCTGGGACTGTCCCGGGTAAATAGGGACGTCTGGTCACACTAGTGTTGAGATTCAGTCCACGAGATCGAAACAAGACGAGATTTTGATACACCATTCGGTTCATAATTTTTGATTCACAATTTACACCCGGTTTAGGCTGACTGGTATAAATAATATTGTGAAAAGAGCGTGTAACGTTGTGGATTCTCGTGTCACTCATGATGTTCACCGATTTCTGTATTTTGGCAAAACAAATGACAATTTATGCTCCTCTTTACTGTTGGCAGGGATCAGATTAGTCAAAAATAGTGACACTTGGGTAATTTCTTGTAAAAAAAAAAATGTGACAAGTCTGTGGTTTTGTATAAATCTGCTGGGACAGGGGACACTGGGCTCCAGACTGGGACTGTCCCGGGTCAATAGGCACGTCTGGTCACACATTGCTAACTTGAAAGTTCAGAGTTGACACTTTTGAAGGAAAATTCACACTTCAAATGGACTCACATGAAGCTTGTGAAACACTGAAGGGGACTTCCTGTGTAACCACATGTCATCACTTGGGACTGGGTGTTCTCTAACTGTGCACAGTGTTGTTTTGTTTGTGTTTTTTTTTGTTAAATCCTCACAAAATTTTAGTATAAAACCTTAACAAAGCCTGTTTTATTTTATCTAACTGTAGAACTGAACAGACAGACCAACAGTAGAAGGAGTAGCAACCTTTTCGTTTTAGTGTTTATGGCCACAGCTAAATGCATTCACGTAAACTCAACTTCCGCACCGTGTATTCAAGAAGAGTCACCATCATTTACTTTCGCAACACCATCGCCGTGAGAACGCAGCCCAGATGGCACGGAGTCTGTACTAGACTTCCAGCGCGTTTCAGCCCTTCAGAGCAGCTCACAGGAAGGAAAAGACTGCGGTTTGCTTCTGCTCAGAAAAGTACAAGACGGTTCAACGTCAGTGGCCACTCCGTCTCGGCTGTGTGCAAGGGGCGCGGCGTGGAGGGCTGGAGACCACAGCTGAAGCGCCGTGCAGCACAGGAACCAGACCAGAGCTGAAAGATGAAGCTTCTACTCAGCAGCCTGCAGTTGGCCTCTCTGTGCGCGCTCTCGTCTTGGAGTAAGTCAATAAAATATATTCTGACATTGAATTGTGGAACTTTGCGATGGGAATGACTTTATATCGCGTGAAAAATATTGAATACTAGTAACGCTGATGTTGAATAAGTTGGAAGTTAGTGCGTATGTTAGTATACTTATGGTCCAAAGCAGGAAAAATGATCTGACAAAGGCTTTTTTGACGAAACATTTAAAAATTTTAAAAAAGCTTTTAGACATTGGTGACATTTAGACATTTTTTCACTTTTATGCATATGGAGTTAACATTGTAGGAAGCTTGTGTGAAAAAAAAGAGTAAAGCTGAAATAATCCATACTTAAAAGTGCACTATGTAAAGTCGGTTGGGTGTTCTTCTCACCTCCTCGTTTCTATGGAAATACCATTGCTCTGTTTAGAGTAACAACAACAGTATGACATTTAACAGCTTCACCTTACACGTATTCAGTCACAGGTGGTTTTATTGCACACAAAAAAAAAAAAAAAAAAATCTGACCTGTGATTTGGTCTGGCTTGGTCTCCGTGAAGACACAAAGGTTTATTGCCACACTGTGAAACATTCCAGACGAAGCAATAACATGTTTGTTGAGAAAAGCATGATGGACCCTCCAACAGGAAAGTTACACAATGCACCTTTAAAGTGGTAGTGGGGTCCGGTCAAATGGTAACGGAGGGAAACAGGCAGATTTTTGACATTCAAATGTCTCTTATTCAGAAACTAGAGGAACTATTGAAATAAGTAAAGTATCAGAATGTAGGAAAGAGTTACACTCCAACAGGGTCAAGTTAAACCTGTGATATTCTTTCAAGTTGTTGACAAAAATTTTTAAAAACTCATGTCGGTAACGGAGGGAATGAAATATGCAGCACTTTTTGGGCAATAAATCCAAACAGTGATAACTCTTGGTTCTCACTTACATATCCTTAACAAACTGGTTTGAATATTTGCTTCTTATAGTTTTCTACCATATGGTACAAGATTAGGTTGAAAAACCTCTTACTTTTTGACTGAGATTTTTTATTAATAAAGGTCATGGTAACGGAGGGAAAAGTAACAGAGGGAAAATTGCAGGATTTTACATAATTTGTTGCTTTTTTCTTCCGAATACTTTAATATTACTTCAAAATGAAAGGAAACTATTTCTATAAAATATGTCAGTCCTTCCAAGCAAATTTTTATCATTTTAAATACATTTTTTTTGAAAAATCATGTACCTTCATCAACAGTTCAAAGATGGAATAACACAAGATATGATGAAATACATCCATTTATTTACATGATTTTCAGGTCTTTGAAATTTGGGAAATAATTTTTGTTCCATGTTTCATACATGGTCTGTTTAAAACATGTAACTTTAGAACCAAAAATGGTACAGAAAAAAGGTGAACAGTTTCATAAACTAGAGTACATATGTATCTGTTCAATACATTTTTATATCAGATGAATTAACTTGAATTTTTGGCCTTGTTGTTTACTTCTGCTTGACCGGGTCCTGTAGTAGTAGTTGTAGTAGTAGTAGTAATAGTGGTAGTAGTAGTAGTAGTTTATTTTCTTCAATCATGTACTTAATCATGTTTTTAATAGACTTTTACAAACTTTTCACATAAAACCAGGGGGTATTCAATTATTTTTTTCCACAGAAACAGAAAATATTGTCAAAGTCGGGGCCAAAACGCTTAACTCATTTCTAATATTAAATGTATTTCTTTATAAAAAGTCGTAAATATAATTGTTTTGACGCGCCGCTCAGACCGCTAAGAGTTTACGTTATGACTAAGCAATGAAAAAGTAAGACAGCCTTACAAAAAAAAAAAAACACCTCTAATAAAAACAGTGCAGCTTTAGGTCACACATGAGGTAAAATGATAAAATACGTTTATTTTGTGATTCCAAATGAGTCAAATAAAGCGCCGTACGTGATTGTAGAATGCCCAAGTTTGCGTAAAACTTTGACCGAAAGGGTTTAAGCTGAGGTGAAATCGCTTATAAATGCCTAAACTTTACATTACAGGTCAGATCTGTGGAGAGTCGCGCATATTTACAGAAGGAATTGTTGTATTTTTGAGCAATAGAAACTGTTAATGTGCTGTAATGAATAAATTCTAGATCGTTATGTTTAATGTCATGCGCAATAACTACGCAATAACATGAATACAAAGCAGACTCTTCAGTAGAAAAGTTGCTCAGTGCAGCTTTAAACCACGGTGGAATACTTTTTGTTGTATGAATTTATAAAATCAAGGTGAAAAATAAATCAGATGAACAGTATAGGACATTGGAGAAGAGTACAGAACATCACTTTTACTTTAACAGCCTACACAACAGAATCTGAGAAAATAAAAGGGAAAGGTTTCTTTTTTTCTAACAAAGTTTCCATTTCCTACTTGCAACCAAAATATATATTACACGTTTTAATTTCAGAACTGGGCTGTGTGGTTTGACTCCACAAAACACCGAAAACTAAAAATCAAGTTGCGATTTTTGCGAGGCATTTTACATTTTTATTAGTAGAATAGAGTTTTCTTCAGAGTTTGTAGAGGCCAAGTTTTGTTTTTTTGTTTTTTGCAGGGTATTTTTTCTTTGCAGAGGAAATGTTTTGTCGGGCAAAGTGCAGTATATTGTGTATATTGTGTTGTTGTTGTGGTGTTTATCCGTGCGTGTCACTTAATGCTTAGTACAATTCAACTACACCTTATTTAGCCTTAACTAAGCATGAACAAAGACTTAATTAATAATGAACAAAGACTTAATTAATAACGATTCACGCTTAGTAACTACTTAATTACTACCTTAATTAGCACTTGCACTTAATTTGCCTGTGCTGTAATTAGTTACTCATAATTATTTCATACTTAATTACTCATGAACTAACCATTTGAGCATTTATTAATCATTAATAAGGTATGAGAGAATGATTTACTAATAATGCAATGCAATGATCATTCAGGCAGCTGTTATCTGTTAAGTCTTTTTGAGAGCTTTTCTAAAGTGAAGACGAATTATCCTTTATTAAACATTTACTAAGCGTGAATCATTATTAATTAAGTCTTTGTTCATTATTAACTAAGTCTTTGTTCATGCTTTATTAAGGCTAAATAATGTGTAGTTATTATAAAATGTTACCCAAAATTCCTTGGTTTTATTTTAATTTAATGTGTCGGTGCGCCCCATGGAGATAGAAATTGTGAAAATAAGAAAACAAACACAAAAAAAACAAAACTATTTTCTTTATTATTTGTCTCCAAAACCAAATGAAAAAATGGATAATGATTCGTTTTTTTCAGTTTTTGATTTTGTGTTTAAATGAAAAATGGAAAAAACGGATAATGGACTGAACCAGGACTAAAACAGGATTAAAACAGGACGGAGACCAGAATCAGACCAGGACCAGACCATGATTTAGATCGGGACAGAGACCAGGACTGAGACCAGGATCAGACCGAGACTGAGACCAGGACCAGACCGGGACTGAGACCAGGACCAGATCAGGACTAGAGCACGATTTAGACTGGGACTGAGACTGGGACCAGACCGGGACCAGAAGAGGACTGAGACCAGGAGTGAGACTTGGACCAAGAACTTAAAACGGTTTAGTCCTGGTTCAGTCCGTTATCTGTTTTTTCCATTTCTTATTTAAACACAAAATCGAAAACTGAAAAAACGAATCGTTATCTGTTTTTTCATTTTGGTTTTGGAGACAAATAATGAAGAAATTAGTTGTTTTATTTTGAAAAATAAATGAATGAATAACACACGGATGAATAATAAATTTGTATACACCACTTTAAAAAAAAACAACAAAAAACGCTGCATTTGGCTTTGTGATCTGACAGTATATTTTTAGCTAGATTTTGTCGGTTAAATGACAATTCTGCCACCTGCCGCCGATCAAATGTTGACTCCAGAAAGTCCCAAATCTGCCCACTTTCAGAAATCAGACTCAGCATTTGTGACGAGCGTAAAAACTTCTAACGTTGTCCGTGAAAAGTCTGTACAAAGCCATTCGTGTGTGACATTAGTGATGGTAAACGGTCGGATCAGAGTCCTGTATTCTGACGATGCATTTAAATGAAAATAGATTTGTTACACTTTTATTTATCACTGATCAGTTACTCTAAACTAACATTCAGAATACGTTTTCTCGGGACATGTGTTCACTTACTTCCCAACACTGTATACAGTATTTTTACTTTCTTAAAAGCTTTGTACTAGATTTTTACGGTCTTAAAAACGTGAAAAACACAACTAATTCTTTATAAATAGTTTGTAGAGGTTAAACACTATTCCTCACTTACCATATTAGTCTTCAATATTCTTAAAAAAAGTGTTGTACTTGATTTTTATGGTCTTAAACACGTGAAAAACGACAACAAATTCTTGATAAATAGTTTGTAGTGGTCCAAAGTTATTCCTCACTTATTTTATTAGTCTTCAATATTCTCAAAAAAGCGTTGTACTTGATTTTTACACTCTTAAAAATGTGAAAAACACAACAAATTCTTTATAAATAGTTTGTAGTGGTTCAAAGTTATTCCTCACTTATCTTATTAGTGTTTAATATTCTTAAAAAAGTGTTGTACTTGAGTTTTACGATCTTAAAAACATGAAAAACACAATGTGATCATTTTAAACAGTTGGTAAAAAAACAAAAACAAATACAAATTTTCATTCTTGCATTAACACAATGGTTTACTTGGACCATCAGAGGTGTATACTGCACGTAGGTCCGCAACATGTGTTTTATATAATTTCTAATCTTTTTGTAATTATTTTATTGACTATTTTGTTCCAATATTGCTGGTTCAATTTCTGTTTTTATTTTTTAAAAACTTGAGTACCATATTTTTTGGACTTTAGTCGCAGGACCACCCAAACCATGAAAAAAAGTGCGATTTATAGTCCGAAAAATACGGTAATACTAATTGTGCAGAGACACGATCGCTCAGTCAACAATAAAATATCCTCATTAATGTTAATGATAATGACGATAATAATGATCAAATCCACATTTATTTTGTGATTTACGAATAATGTTTATTAGGCAGTGTTGGGAAGGTGATTTTTAAAATGTTTTCCCCTACAGATTACAGATTACACACACCAAAATGTAGTTTGTAACAGAATCCATTAAATTACTTAAAGTGAGTAATGTAATCTGAATACTTTGGATTACTTGATTTGCTGTAGAGAAAGCAAAGACTAAGGAATCTTCAACATAAAATGTTTTGTCTGAAAATTAATAAAGAAAGAAAATAAAAAGCCCAGACTTTACTGAACCAAATTAAAAAATATTATTGATAGAAGACGAGGAGACACGTCCACGCAGCATGATTTAGACCTGTTACATCCTGTTTTAGACCTGGTTTAGATCTAGTTTAGTCCTGGTTTAGATCTAGTTTAGACCTGGTTTTATTCCTGGTTTTATTCCTGGTTTAGTCCTGGTTTAGTCCTGGTTTAGACCTGGTTTAGACCTGGTTTAGATCTATTTTAGTCCTGGTTTTAGACCAGGTTTAGATCTATTTTAGTCCTGGTTTAGATCTAGTTTAGTCCTGGTTTAGATCTAGATTAGATCTGATTTAGACCTGGTTTTAGTCCTGGTTTAGTCCTGTTTTAGACCTATTTTAGATCTAGTTTAGAGCCGGTTTAGTTTCCAGCAATGAGTGGAATTACCGAAAAAAAAAAAGGTGATGTGGGGGGTTGAAAACAGGAAAATCCCGCTGTGTAATCCATTTATTTCAACAAAGTAACTGTAATCCAATTACCACTCACTGAAACAGTAACTGTAACTGAATACAGTTACTCATAATTTGTACTCTGATTACTTAATTCTGGTACATGTAATCTGTTACTCCCCAACACTGGATATTGGTTTGTGACTTTTAAAATATGGGTCCCCAGAAAAAAAGTTTGGGAAACACTGATTTAAAGCTACGAATGAATGAGAATAAATGAACGTGAAAAGGCATGTTTGTAATGTTGTTTTCTTTTGTTGTATTTCTCTCTACAGGTGTTTCTTCAGAGGTCGTCGTTCGCCAAAGTAAAGACGTCACAGTTGAGGAAGGAGCTGCAGCTAAAATCTCCTGCTGCATTGAGGGGATTGGATGGAAAATAGTTACCTGGCTGAAAAATCAAAGTGTTATTGATACGCAGAGGTTAAACGAGGCTAAATGTTCATTCTTAACATTAGAGAACATCACAAAAGATCACGAAGGCACTTATTTCTGCAAAGTAACAAAGGACATACCAATTTTAGAAACACTGTATGGAAATGGAACCGTCCTCACAGTGAAATTTAAAAACGAGACATCACAGAAACAAGGTAAGAGCAAGTTAAAATAGTAAAAACAAACAAACAAAAAAGAAATCTATAAAAAGCACTACGTGTATCTGCAGAAAATCATGATGCATCTCAGAATGTTTTGTTTTGCCAACAGAGATTGGATCTGGCGATGCTTTAAATAACGTTCCATTATTCGCTGTGATTGCCGTGGCACCGATACTCCTCATCGCTCTCATCTGTGTAATCTGTCAGCGAAGAAAACGAGGTACGTGACATTATTTACGTTTTACACTTGTATATTCAAGTAGTAAAAATGCTGTTGAACCTGTCCTACTTTGCTGATGGTCCAGACGTATCTCTCACTTACCGTCCACGATTAGTTTAAAAACGTTTAATTTCAGAGGCCAGAGCGGACAGCAAATAACAACAACTAGGATGCTAACAGCGCACCAGCTTTAGTTCCTGGTTTGTGCCAGACGAGAACGTGTATGACGGTCCACGGCGGTCTCATTTTGACACCGGAGAGCTGCTTTTACGGTCTATCTGCAATGAGGCAAACATGAAAAAAAAACAAAACATTAGATGCAGAAAGAAAGTAAAACATATGTAAATCAGTGAAAAAAACTGAAACAAAGTCAAAATGCGTTGTAATTTTATGATTTTGTATTATAAGAATCAGCAGAAAGGTTTGATTGTTTGATTCGTTTTTATTTTTGTGCCAAGAGAGAAACAATAATCATGTTTACTACATACACATTGTAAACAACAGAAAAGCACATTTCTCGAAAAGGAGTTGGAAGAAGAAAAACTTATTAACCCAACCCTGTTCATGAAAGTTTCAAAATGTATGTGGTTGCTTCTGTACATTGATCACGGAACTTAACAAATATTTACTTATAGCAAAATAAATGACATATTATGCATACAAAATATAATTTTAACCCCAAAAACCTTTTTTTTCATTGTGCACTGTACACATATATATATACACATACACATATACATATACTTACCCATATACATACACCCATACATAAACACACACTGATATATATATTATACTTTTTTTTTTTTTTTTTTTTGGTTTGGACACAGTACCGTATTTTTCGGATTATAAGGCGCATTAAGTGGAACAAAACAGATAAGTTTAGTTTCTAAACTTCTAAAGTCCTGATTTAAACCTGGCTTAGACCTGGTTTACTCCTGGTTTAGTCCTGGTTTATTCCTGGTTCAGCTCTGGTTTAGTCCTGGTTTTAGACCTGGTTTAGACCTGGTTTTAAGCAGCTTTCTGTATTTTACCTAAACAAATGTCAGTTTATGTCTCTCTTTACGGTTTGCAGGGATCAAATTGTTCAAAAATAGCGACACCTGGGACATTTCTTGTATAAAACTTGGACAAATCAGTGGTTTTGGATAAATCTGCTGGGACAGGGGACACTGGGCTCAAAACCGGAACTGTCCCGGGTCCACGGGAACGTCTGCTCGCCCTAGTTTAATCACAAATTGAAAACACCAGGATCAACATTTGTGAGTTCACATTTTGGAAATGTTATGGCAAAGAACAATGTGGTCCACGGGAAAAAATTGACCATTGCGCTGTAATAATTTTGCTTTGTATTATGAATTTTTGAGTTTCTGTTCTCACGAGACCATTTTGTCTTCCAGTCCAAGCCGCCAGAGTGATCTACGAGGTCCCGCATTTTGACTCCGAGACACCAGACCCGGACAAAGGCAGCACGGGATCTAGAGGCTCCTCTCAGTGGGTAAGTACCGATAAGGCTACGTATCATGAAGAAGTTGGCTATACGATACATACCTCGATACAGTGCGCTTTCGATTCGATACGATATATTTCAAATCGATATGCTTCAATGAAAAATAAAGGCTAAATCGTGGCTGTGATACTAAAAGTCTTGTGCAAAGTTCATATGAAACACTAACATTTTAATCCTAAAAACTGTGAAAATGTCAAATGTGTCGCATAAATCTGTGGTCCCCAAACTTTTTTGAGCTACGGACCGGTTTTATGTCTGATAATATTTTGCGGACTGGGGGGAGGTGGGGTGTATAGAAGCGCAGCATGGTTGAGTCCTGGTTTAGACCTAGTTTTGACCTGGTTCAGTCCCGGTTTAGTCCTGGTTCAGCTCTGGTTTAGTCCTGTTTTTGTCCTGGTTCAGTCCTGGTTTAGACCTGGTTTAGTCTTCTTTTAGACCTGGTGTAGACCTGGTTTAGACCTGATTTAGTCTGGTTTAGTCCTGTTTTAGTGTTGGTTCAGTCCTGTTTTTGTCCTGGTTTACCTCTGGTTTAGACCTGGTTTAGACCTGGTTTAGACCTGGTTTCGTCCTGGTTCAGCTCTGGTTTAGTCCTGGTTTACCTCTGGTTTAGTCATGGTTCAGTCCTGGTTTAGTCCTCGTTTAGTCTTGTTTTAGACCTGGTGTACACCTGGTTTAGACCTGATTTAGTCTTGTTTTAGTCCTGGTTTAGACCTGGTTTCATCCTGGTTCAGCTCTGGTTTAGTCCTGTTTTAGTCCTGGTTTACCTCTGGTTTAGTCATGGTTCAGTCCTGGTTTAGTCCTCGTTTAGTCTTGTTTTAGACCTGGTGTACACCTGGTTTAGACCTGATTTAGTCTTGTTTTAGTCCTGGTTTAGACCTGGTTTCATCCTGGTTTAGTCCTGGTTTAGTCCTGTTTTAGTCCTGGTTTACCTCTGGTTTAGTCATGGTTCAGTTCTGGTTTAGTCCTGGTTTAGACCGGGTTCAGTCCCGGTTTAGTCCTGGTTCAGCTCTGGTTTAGTCCTGTTTTTGTCCTGGTTTAGACCTGGTTTAGTCTTGTTTTAGTCCTGGTTTAGACCTGGTGCAGTCCTGGTTTAGTCCTTCTGGTTTAGTCTTGTTTTAGTCCTAGTTTAGACTTGGTGCAGTCCTGTTTTTTTCCTGGTTTACCTCTGGTTTAGTCCTGGTTCACTTCTGGTTTAGTCTTGTTTTAGACTTGGTTTAGACCTGGTTTAGTCCTGGTTTAGTCCTTCTGATTTAGTCCTGGTTTGTTTTGGGGGATTCATCACATCGATCACCTCACAAATCGCATACCCCCACTTAAAAAATAAAAAAATCACTACACTGCTGTACATGGGGAATTTAGCAACGTCTTCTCAGTTATTGCCTGGTTTGACTTTTAGTTTTTTTTTTACAAAAACCACATATAAAAGGAACTCGGAGTTTGTTTGGCATCGTAAACAGCCACATACTTCTAGACATGGTGTTAGCATGTTCCTCATTTAAGTTCTCTGGAGGATGCAACTTCCCTTTTGTGGGAAGATTGAGAAATTTTAAAATATTTAGGAATTACTGAGAATGGCAATGATATTAAAAAAATTCTACAAAACCTAATGTGCTGATGAGAAAGAAACCTAACGTGCTGCTAATTTTCCCACGGACAGTTGTCGCTAACGTTGGGGAGCTAACGTTGTTTACGCTTAGCTTTTTGTCTCACTTTAAAACACTTTGGACAATTTTCTCTTAGTTAATTCTTTTTTACAGCTACACCAGGTCTTTTTTATTTATTTATTTGTTTATATATTTATTGACACGGATAATGCAGTCACACACAGTCAAGCAACTTAAGGTGACCTGATTTTCACAATATAAAACTGAGACATCCCCGGTTTGTTGTGGTTGGTAATAAGAAAATTGTGAAATGAGCGTGTAAAAAAAAAAAAAAAAAAAAAGTTATGCATTCGTGACAAACATGTGAGTCAGTATAGTCACGTTTTCTTTGTGTTTTGGTTGTTTGTGAGCAGATTTTTTTTGTATTTTACCTAAACAAATGATAATTTATGGCTCTTTTTACTGTTAACAGAGATCAAATTGGTCAAAAATAGGGACATCGGGGACATTTTTTTTATATAAAACTGGGACAAATCAATGTTTTTGTATAAATCTGCTGGGACAAGGGACACACAAGCTCAAAACTGGGACTGTCCCGGGTAAATAGAAACGTCTGGTCCCCGTACAAACAACCCATACAGAGTGTGTAGTGCTAATTCTCAACTCCTGTCCTTGTCGGGTTTTTCGGGACATTCACACACGTACACAAAAAAATACAGATTTATTTTTAACTCGTATGATTTTTGGAAGTTTAGGAAAAAACATGTTTGGCTATGTCCTAATTAGAGATTGATGGATATGGGTTTTTTCACGCCCGGTTGTTTAGAATCCAGAAAAACTCTGATATTTTGGGGCCGATATGTGCCAGTTTGTCCTGTTAAATCCTGTTTTAGACCTGGTTTAGACCTGGTTTTAGTCCTGGTTTAGTCCTGGCTTAGACCTGGTTTAGTACTGGTTTAGTCTTGGTTTAGACCTGGTTTAGACCTGGTTTAGTCCTGGTTTAGAGCTAGTTTAGACCTGGTTTAGTCCTGATTTAGACCTGGTTTAGTCCTGGTTTAGACCTAGTTTAGACCTGGTTTAGACCTGGTTTGGACCTGGTTTATACCTGGTCAGGACCTGGTTTAATCTTGGTTTAGACCTGGTTTTAGTCCTGGTTTAGTCCTGGCTTAGACCTGGTTTAGTACTGGTTTAGTCTTGGTTTAGAGCTAGTTTAGACCTGGTTTAGTCCTGATTTAGACCTGGTTTAGTCCTGACTTAGACCTAGTTTAGACCTGGTTTAGTCCTGGTTTAGACCTAGTTTAGACCTGGTTTAGACCTGGTTTACCTGGTTTAGACCTGGTTTGGACCTGGTTTATACCTGGTCAGGACCTGGTTTAATCTTGGTTAGACCTTTTAGACCTGTTTAGTCCTGGTTAGACCTGGTTAGTCTGGTTTAGTCTTGGTTTAGAGCTAGTTTTAGACCTGGTTTAGTCCTGATTTAGACCTGGTTTTCCTGTAGACCTAGTTTAACCTGGTTTCAGTCCTGATTTAGTCCCAGTTTAGACCTGGTTTGTACCTGGTTCAGACCTGGATTTGTCTTGGCTTAGACCTAGTTTAGACCTGGTTTTACTCCTGGTTTAGTCTTAGTTTAGACCTGGTTTTAGTTCTGGTCTAGTCCTGGTTTAGACCTGGTTAGGACCTGGTTTAGTGTCCGGCAATGAGTGGAATTACCGAAAAAAAAAGAAAAAAAAAAGGGATATAGCCCGAAATGTGAAAACAGGAAAATCCCGCTGTGTAATCCATTTATTTCATCAAAATAACTGTAGTCTGATTACGTAACTCTGGTACATGTAATCTGTTACTCCCCAACACTGGTTTCTAGATGAGATTATTTCAACAATAATTTATGTCAAATGTTTTAGGTCACCCTGTATTATAACCTACAACATGCTTTGATACACACATGACATCAACATTTTAGGGAAATTTTACCGATAAAGTCAAAGATGTCTGAATAAACACGGCCTATTCATTACAAACGGACAGCCCCAATCAAAAACGCAGATAACAAAACGAGACTCAGACACCTTTCACTCAGGCACCTTTGTGCACGTACCGGCGTGTTTGTTTAGTAGTGACTAACCTTTTACAAACGCCCACGCATTCATGTGTTTTTGTCACATATGAATAGGCCAAAACCTGCTACTCCAGAAGCTCTAATCTGACATAACCCAAACCCTAACCTACTTTTATGTGTTTCATTTCAGTGCCAAGTCCCAGTGTACGAGTCCTTTGACTACTTCGAACACACGGAGGCCAAGAAAAGTGGATAAGAATCGGATACTCCTCTCCCTACTGTGCAAGATTATTTAGTTTCGACAGATTTTGAATTTTAAACGTCACTGAATTTCAAATCAGATCAAATCGAACTTTATTTATAGAGCGCTTTTCATACATAAAGTGCAAATTTCTCACTCAACTCTGAAAAAAAAATTTTTATTCTGAATTTGAGTTGATATTCAGCACAAATATTTTCAAACACTCAAATTCAGTCAAAATTCAAAGTTTAAAATTTGCTGTGAAAATCTGAATCTGAATTTTGAGGGCTTGAAAATATCCGTGCTGAATATTTAAAAGCTGAAATTTTTATTCTGAATTTGAAACCTATTGAAAAGTATACTTAAAATTTCAGTAACTAACTAAAATAACTCTTAAATAAATATTTTTTCAGAGTTAAAAAATTCAAAGCGGCATTTAAAATAAAAAAAATCTAATGGAACAAATTATTTTCCGTTACTTTACCCTGTACTTTTAATGTGTATGTAAATGTGTGTTTATTGTTGTATGAATTTTCCATGCCTGTAAATATTTCTCAATAAACGTTTGTCATTTTTTTTGTTCCCCAACATTGACAGAATTATTTTAAGAATTGTTTTAGTGAACGGTACTGATTCGAATGCAAAAATTTGGGTTCAGTTTCATTTCGTGCTTTATATTTTCCATTTTAACAAGCGTATCTCAGAGGGTTTGTCCTGGTTAATGGATAATATTTGGTCCGGCCTCATCCATATAAAACCAAAACTAGCGCAGACCAGTTTAATGAAGCATAAAATAAAGGAAGGTGAAGTCATTTCCGTACAAATAATGAGAAGGTTCAACATTTGTGAATGATGGGTTTGGAGATTTCTGTCAAAAACGTGAAAAAAGTGAATGTATAGATGGATTTTCAGCAGCATTTCCCACGTTACAAAGAGAAGTTGTGGTGGTGTTATTTGCACAAACAGAAGTGAGAACGGTTTTTATGGATCAGGACACTGGTGCCCATCACTGAGGACCAACTTATTACTTCAATTGGAACTCTTCAGGGTTTCTGTTTAATTTGTTGTTTTGTTTGTTAGCCATCTTAAACTCGCGAACTTAGCCTCTTGTACCGTTTCCCCTTGTTCCCACGGTCTTGGAAATCCTGGAAAAGTGATGATAGAAATTGATAATGTCATTTTTCAGGTCGCGAAAGGTCATGAAATTTTGTAAATTAAGGGTCTGTTTAGACGAGAACGCTTGCGGATAAAAAACACTAAATATTTTATCGGAAGTGCCTTTTGTTTAGACGGTGACGGCGTTTTTGGGGCTTAAAAACGCAAAAATGTGAAACTACCCTCCAGAGCGGAAAAGTTGAACCACCGTAGTGTTTCTGTCTACACATGAAGAAAATAGGTGTATCATTTGTTCATTTGTTTTTCAATGTAAAAAAAAAATAAGAAAAAAAAAAAAACAGCAATTTTCTTCATTATTTGTCTCCAAAACCAAAATGAAAAAACAGATAACGATTTGTTTTTTTCAGTTTTTGATTTTGTGGTTAAATGAATAACGGCTGTTTCCCATTTCCGAGACTTAAACTGTGATGCAGGACTGAACCAGGACTGAGACCAGGACCAGACCAAGACCAGCCAGGACTGGTTTAGTCCTGATTCAGTTCTGGTTAGGTCCTGGTTCAGTCCTGTTTTAGTCCTGGGATCAGTCCTGGTTCGGGCCTGGTTTGTCCCAGTCTGGTCTCGTCTCAGTCCTGGTCTGGTTCTGGTCTTAGTCCTGTCTCAGTTCTGGTCTGGTCCTTGTCTCAATCCCGGTCTCAATGCTGATCTCAGTCTCGGTCAAGTCCCAGTCTGGTCCTGGTCTCAGTCCTGATCACCCGACAGTCTACGCGGGTGCACCTCCGGGCCCGTCCCGACACTCTTGGTTCAGTCTGGTTCAGTCTGGTTCAGTCTTGGTTCAGTCCTGGTTCAGTCCTGGTTCAGCCCGGCATCGTAGTTTAAGTCACGTAAACGGGAAACGGCCGTTGTCCTGTTTTTTTCCATTTTTCATTTAAACACAAAATCAAAAACTGAAAAAACAAATCATTATCTGTTTTTTCATTTTGATTTTAGAGGCAAATAATGAAGAAAACAGCAGGTTTTTTTCTTTTCTTATTTTTGGTTTTATATTGAAAAACAAATGAACGAATGAAACACTCAGTTAAATTTTTGCTCACACACACACACACCACGTTCCCTTGCATGTACCACATTGGAACACATATCACATCACAGTTTTGAATGGTTGTGTGTAAGAGAAAAGTGCTATATACGTGTGTGGTGTTTGAATGTGTTGTTTGAATGTGCGAAACAAAAGTGATTCATGTGCGAAGTTAAAATTGTACGTGTGTGACCTTTTTAACTGGATGTGCGAGACAAGTGGTGTATGTGCGAAATAAAAATAGCTTATGTGTGAGTTTTTGACAGACGTGCTCATGACAAAAACGGTTTATGTGGAAACTTTTCATGTGCCAAAAAAAAAAGAGTACACATGTAAGCATTACATGTACCGGAGTTACGTAATCAGAGTACAAATTATGAGTAACTGTATTCAGTTACAGTTACTGTTTCAGTGAGTGGTAATTGGATTACAGTTACTTTACTGAAATAAATGGATTACACAGCAGTATTTTCCAGTTTTCCTGTTTTCACATTTTGGGCAATATTTCCCCCTTTTTTTTTTTTCTGGTAATTCCACTCGTTGCCGGAAACTAACTAAACCAGGTCTAAACCAGGTCTAAACCAGGACTAAACCAGGACTAAAACCAGGTCTAAACTAGATCTAAACCAGGACTAAACCAGGTCTAAAACCAGGACTAAAATCAGGTCTAAAACCAGGACTAAACCAGGACTAAAATCAGGTCTAAAACCAGGACTAAACCAGGACTAAAACTAGGCCTGAACTAGATCTAAACCAGGTCTAAACTAGATCTAAACCAGGTCTAAATCAGGACTAAACCAGGACTAAAACCAGGTCTAAACTAGATCTAAACCAGGACTAAACCAGGTCTAAAACCAGGACTAAAATCAGGTCTAAAACCAGGACTAAAACCAGGTCTAAAACCAGGACTATACCAGGTCTAAACCAGGACTAAAACAGGATTTAACAGGACTAAATCCTGCTGTGTGGACGTGTCTCATCCTCTTCTATCAATAATATTTTAAATTTGGTTCAGTAAAGTCTGGGCTTTTTATTTTCTTTTATCAGACAAAACATTTTATGTGAAGATTTCCTCGTCTTTGCTTCTCTACAGCAAATCAAGTAATCCAAAGTATTCAGATTACATTACTCACTTTAAGTAATGTAATGGATTACGTTACAAACTACATTTTGGGATCTGTAATCTGTAGGGGATTACATTTTAAAAGTCACCTTCCCAACACTGCCTATTCCTGATACAAATAAATGTTAAAAAGTTATTATCCTAAACCATAAGGTGAGTGGAAAGATTAACATTTCAGATTTAGTCCTAAAAGTTTGATCAACACACGCATCCCGAATTTCGGACTTCCGGTCATCGCACAATCCAGACTGAGAAGGATCGTCTGAAAAAGTGAGCATCAAACCGCCATGTTTGTTTTCCCAGTGGGACGTGTCTATTGTCAAAGTCGATCTTTTCAAGTCTTTTGAACCATATCACTTTTGTTTCTGGTTCTGATATTGTCATATTTTAGTTTTGGGATTCGGACATCGTAATTGTGTGGTTGTTGGATCCAAACAGCGGAAAACGGCTCGAGAAATTTGTTTGTGAACTCCATAAACGCAAAAGGGAATCAGATGTGTGTGATGCAAACCTCTGTTCAAACTGTTTCTCTTCCCAACGGAATTGAAAAATAGTGAAAGGTGAAGGCGATGGGCAGGATTGATCCACAGGAAGAACCAAAAACGAAACCTGTGATTGCCTAAGAAATCATCCCGAGTTTACAGAGAACATTTTGTATGTGGAGCGACGACAAAAAAATCAAAGTAAAATCCGATCCCTCAGCTCAACCTCCTCAACCTTGGTTACGAATTTAAAAAGTCAATGCCAAAGTGAAAGGCTTCAACTGTTTGTGAACTTTTTCCAGTCTTTTGAAAACTCCCAATTTTACGTCATAGTAAATGAAAATAATTAAGATGCTTTAACAGAAAACCATGAGTCATTTTAACTGCAAATATTTGAGCATTTTTAATTCAGCTGTTATCAAAACTACAAGCAAACCATCCAATCTTTTAAGTTCATAGACTTAAAATAATTGAGGTAATAAATTGCCTCAATTATTTTGAGTTCTGGTAACTTATTTGGGTGTACAGCGTACAATGCAATTTTTACGAATTTGTTGGACATGACGTCAGTGTCCTCTAAAGTGTTAACCTCTCAGTTAACACAGGAAGTCGTGGGTCAAACTAAATATTTATAGAAAAATGTCAACCACATCTGCATGTTTTCTCTTCTTTCGAGATATGTAATGTTAAACCTTTTCTGATTAAAATAAATGTTTAATAATAGTTTTGCTTAAACACTGAATCCAGAACAAGCAAAATATAAAAAAATAATAACAAAATTTTAAATAAATAATGTCTCTAATACAGATTTTATATGATTTCACGGGCCAAATTTTGACCCGTTTGACATGTCTGCGTCAGCTCATTAGTCAGTCAATTAAAAAAACATCTTTAATCGCACACTTTACAGAGCTACAATAGGACCTGTAATGTTAACCACTCTGCCGCTTAGCATCTCTTGCTCTGCGGTTGCGTGAATGTTTGTAAACAGGAAACCCATCTATTTTTTTTTTTTTCTTGACTCCATACACCTTCACGAGAATGATTTCAGCCCTGAAATAGCCAATCTCTACCGAATGAAAGGTCAAAGCAGCTCTGTTAACCTTAAAACTACTACTAAATGACATCACAATGTGGAACAGAGCGTTTTGACCTTTGGAAGCGTAGGCAGAATAAATAATAAAGAGTTACTCAAACATGTGCGAGTGAAACAAAAAAAAACAACTCAAGGTCTGTTTGTGACGAGGAAACGACATTCTTAAAGTTCTCAAGAGTCAATCTGTTGTAATATTGGACCTTTAAAGATAAAACAAAAGTAGGTTTATATTGAGTGGAAAGAGTATAAATCTATCTTAGTGAGCGGTATTGATTTGAATGTAGTGCAGGTTTCAGTTTGGAGACCAAGTGGAAACTGTGGTGCTTGAGGGTCACACTAAACAGCGACGGCAGGAAGTGGAAAGATCAGTCTGTACGTTGTATAAGCCACGTTCTAATTTAGTTTCAGTTAGTTAATCAAAACAACTGGACTTATTTGCACAACTTTTCACCTGCTTTGCCTAGAATTTTCCAGATTTTAAACCCATCATTTATTCATTACAGGTGTTTCTGTTGATCAAAAATACAATAATTCTCTCTGTGAATTATTATTTTCTCCTCTAAAGTTGTGAAGTGCATCTTTAAAGTTTTGTATTATTGACTCTTTAGCTTTAAGTTCATTCATATTTGAGTAACGCTTCATTATTCTCTGCTTCTCCAAATCTCAAAATGCTCTGTCCCACCTTGTGATGTCACA